AAAAAAAAAAAAAAGAAATCAATGTTTCTAGGAGGTTTTTGTGGTTGTTAAGCATTCTTATCTTTTAGAGACATACAGCAAGACACTTAAAATTAAATACAACATCTAGAATTTGCTTCAAAATAATCCAGAGGATGGAGATGAAATGGAGGTATAAATAAATTTAATAATTATTATGGTAATGATCAAAAGTAGGTGATGAGTTCATAGAATTTACATTATTCTCTGTGTTATACATGTTTGAAATGTCACTAATAAAAATTTTGGCCAGGCACAGTGGCTCACGTCTGTAATTCTAACACTTTGAGAAGCCCAGGCAGGAGGATTGCTTGAGCCTAGGAGTTTGAGACCAACCTGGGCAACATAGGGAGACTCCATCTCTACAAAAAGTAAAAATAAAAAATTAGCTGGGCATGGTGGTTCACACCTATAATCCCAACTACTTGGGAGGCTGAGGTGGGAGGATTGCTTGAGCCCAGGAATTAGAGGCTATAATAAGCCATGATCACGGCACTGCACTCCAGCCTAGGCGACAGAGCAAACTCTGTCTCAATAAATAAATAAAATAAAAATAAAACTTATTAGAGGCAGGGCGCAGTGGCTCACACGTGTAATCCCAGCACTTTGGGAGGCCGCGGCAGGCAGATCACTTAAGCCCAGGAGTTCAAGAGCAGCCTAGGCAATATGGCAAAACTCTGTCTCTACAAAAAAATACAAAAATAGCCAGGTGTGGTGGTGTGCACCTGTAGTGCCAACTATTTGGGAGACTGAAGTGGGAGGACAGTTTAAGCCCAGGAGACGGAGGTTGCAGTGAGCCGAGATCGTGCCACTGTACTCCGGCCTGGGCAACAGAGCCAGACCCTGTCGAAAAAAATTTTTTTTTATTTTTTAGAAATAAAACTGTTAAAAGGAAAAATTAGAACAAAAAAGGTGGGAGCCAGGTGCAATGTAATGCACCTGTAGTTTCAGCTGCTCAGGAGGATGAAACATGAGGATTTGAGCCCAGCAGTTCAAGACTGTAGTATGCAATGCTGGTGCCTGTGGATAGCCACTGCACTCCACCTGAGTAACAGAGTGAGACCCATTTCAAAACAAAACATAACAAAAAGTGTGGAAACTCATATTGGGTTTCTAGAACTTAATGAATCCTATAATACTCAAGGTTATAAAATTAACCAGTGGTCAAAACTACACAGAAATTGCTTGCAGTGACCTTACAAAGCCAGCATATGCTAGCTTCATCATCTTTCATAGCAAGCTTGCTACAAAGATTTCATATCATCTTGCTGCTCATAAGGAGTGAGTGTCCAAGTAACAGCATTATAAAAATCTGTCTCATATGCACACAGATCTGCATAGTGGTCTTCAATGAAGTATTTTCCTAAGAAACTAATCTTCCCTTACTTGTCCAATGTTAATTATTCTATATATTTCAAAATGTGTTAATTGAGACAAGGATTTTCTATAGTATATCTTTCATGCAATTTCTGTTTGAGGAAGAAAAATACTGACCAATAATTTTAAAAATAAAAATAGGCTGATTATGGGTTTTCTTTTAAAAGGTATAGCACATTGGTTTTTACAAAATAGTATCAGGAATTGGACATAAAAAATACACCTACCCTGAAATACAGAATACGTAGCTTTAAAACATATTTCATGCTCAGTAGTAAAACCTTCTATATTTATGAGAAGGGGCCAAAAACTTCTTCCTGAACTAGCAAAGGTCACAAACTATCAGCTGGCAGAATGAATTTGGTCCACAGATGTGTTTTCTTCGTCGTGCAAAGTACTATTTTTTAGTTGCATTAGTTGACATTAAGAAATCACAAGATTTCCCATAAATATTCAGTTTTCTGGTTTCTTTTGAAAAACTGCAAGCTTGGACAACACTAGGTTTCTGGTCCCAAGTAGCACTGGCCCCCTGAAGACAAGCAATCTTTCTCCTCCAGAAAGGCGGTCAACCAGGGCTCATCAGTTATCTACAGACCACACTGTCCCGGTGGGTTTGAGACTCGTCACATAGGTTTCCAATTAAGTAGCCCTTTGTTTAAAACATAAAGTCTATGGAATTTACTAAATATCTACATTTTGTCTGTCAGCATATTCAAAAAGGCAAATTATACATTCAGCCAACTTTTGAGCCAGAAGGACCAGAAAGGCAAAAGTTAAGTGATCTTCCTCAAAAACATTCAGCAAATCAGTGAGTCTACTTGAAGACTCCTAACTCCTGCCTTCAATTTGGAGTTCTCCCATTACTGTACGCCTCCTAATCCTCTCTCAATTTTAAAGTTCTAGCTGAAAACCAGAAAGGGTATCTGGCATCTTTAGTGAGTAGACCATTATTGTAAGAAACTGTTGAGGTAATACTCAGCCATCCCTTAATACTCAGTTACCTTCAGATATATTATAAAAATACACAAAAGCACCAACAACTTAAAAATTAGTCAAAAAATAGCCAGTTATGGTGACACATACCCGTAGTCCTAGCTACTAAGGAGGCTAAGGCAAGAGGATCGCTTGAGCCCACGAGTTCGAGGCTGCAATGAGCTATGATTGTGCCACTGTATTCTGGCCTGGGTGAGAGAGTGAGACTGTCTCTAAAAAAAAAATAATAAATATGTCAACTGAGTACATTATTCAGCCTTAAAAAGTAATGAAATTCTGACATATCTTATAATATAGATGTGCCTTGAAAACATTATGCTAAGTGAAATAAGGCAGACATAAAAGGACAAATATTGTATTATTCTACATATGTAAGGCAGCTAAAATAGTAGCAATAAAAAGTGTAGTAGTGGTTATCAGGGGCTGGTTGTAGTGGAAAGAAAGAGAATGGGGAGTCATTATGTAATGGGTATGGGGTTTCAGTATGGAATGACAAAAACGTTCTGCAAATGGATACGATAACAGTTGCATAACAATGTGAATGTACTTAGCGCCACTGAACTGTCCATTTAAAAACCATTAAAATGGTCAATTTTATGTTATGTATATTTTAACACAATAAAAATAAAGTCACCTGAGGCTACCTAGGGTTGTACATTTATCAAAGCTCAGCAAACATACGTTTGAGATTTACATTTTCTTACTATGTATAAATCTTACATTTAAAGAAAAACACTCAAAGGTTGGGCACAGTGACTCACACCTGTAATCCCAGCACTTTAGGAGGCTGAGGTGGGTGGATCACTTGAGGTCAGGAGTTTGAGACCAGCCTGGCCAACATGGTAAAATCCTGTCTCTACTAAAAATACAAAAAAATTAGCCTGGCATTAGGGCACATGCCTGTAATCCCAGCTATTTGGGTGGCTGAGGTATGAGAATTGCTTGAACCTGGGAGGCGGAGGTTGCAGTGAGCTGAGATCACGCCACTGCACTCCAGCCTGGGTGACAGAGACACACCCGGTCTCAAAACAAACAGCAACAACAAAAACCATCAAAACAAATATTGAATACTAGTAAATAATGTGCATGCTAAAATATTTAACAAGTGTATCAATGTCTGCACTTTACTTTGAAATGTTTAAAAAAGATGGATTGATGGAAGGATAGAGGGATGGATGGATTCATGAAAAAGCAAGAATAGTCAGATGTTAATAGCAGAATCTGACCGGGTGCAGTGGCTCATGTCCGTAATCCCAGCACTTGGGAAGGCCAAGGGAGGAGGATTGCTTGAGCCCAAAAGTTCGAGACCAGCCTAGGCAACATAGAAAGACCCCATCTCTACAAAAAATACCAAAATAAATAAGTATTAGCTGGGTACCAGGCAGGCACCTGTGGTCCCAACTACTTAGGAGGCTGAGGTAGGAGGATGACTTGAGCTCAGGAAGTCAAGGCTACAGTAAGCCATGATCACACCACTGCATTCCGGCCTGGGCAACAGAGTGGGGCCCTGTC